TACAGCTTCGGGGCGTGTCACTAAGTTGGCACAAACAAAAACCTGAAATCTGTGCCTTGCGGCAGGAAAAAGCCAACAACCCCTCGGAGGCAAACCCATCATGATTGCCGACTCCTCTCCCCACGGCCAACGAGTCCAATGCCTTTTCTTCGAAAGACCTGGTCTAGGGCTGTGCTTGGGCAACCCACATGAACCCTAAATCCTAAACCCTAAACCCGAAGCCCCAGACCGTTTTCGTTCTTTGCCTCGGCTGCTACTGTCATTCAGACCAATGCCCTGCTGTCAATACACGATACGAATGCCTGGAAAGGGAGACCCGCTTGATCAGCAAGATGAGACTGTGAGTTGTAGTCTGTTGCAGGCCTGTGCCCATTGCGTGTGTTGCATCATCCCCCTGCTTAAGGCTCACCATGTTCGAAATATTTCGGGATGCCTATCGTGATGGGAATGACGGCTTTGTTCCACAAAGCGGCTTTGCCCACATCATTGTGATCTTCCCACTTTTTCGTCCCAGAAGCCAGGGATCTGACAAAAAAGACCTAGGTCCAATCAGACAGGATTACAGAAAGGGGGCAGCAAGTTGGCAGGTCGACTAGACTGTACAACGATGCAGGAAAAATAAAAAACTAGGGCACACCAGGGAAGCCACGGTGCGTGTCACACTGTTTCTATTGCTCGCAAGCCGGGTTCCGCAGGATCTCGGTTGACTTTGTTTGCTCTAAGAGGCAACGGCAGCCAAATCACAAGTGATACTGAACCACATAGCAAGGATAAGCCTGTTCCCTGTCGCAAATGACAAACTCCTGATGCACCTGTATTGAATTGTGGTGGCCCTGGATTGGACCAGGGTTGACAACAATAGAGTCATAAGTTATTCCGAACGTGCTGTTTCTCACCGGTGGCCTCCGTTCCTTCTTTCTGGTTTCCTTTGCGACATACGCATCGCCAAGCGCCACGCGCGCAATGATCAAGGTCCGCTCACGCTTGCAGCAACAACCCGACTTATGATCCTCGCATGTGTACTGATGGGCTTTGCAAGCTGCGGACGCAAAATAAACGCCCTCCCCATACATGCCACGGCCGCACGTGCGATGGTCGAAGCCGCTGCGGACAATTGAATTGGCACATTCCCAACTTGTGCCATGCAACAGAATCTTTTCATCTATATCTAGAGCTAAGGGCTCTCCACAATCAAACACTTCTTGGTTGCTTGTCATGACTTTGCCGACGCCCGTGCCAGCATCAAACGCATCAAGGTCTAAAGACACAGGTGTGACAGAAACATTGTAACTAGCGTGCTCCTTCCGCAAAGCATCACGTCTCAGCCTGTATCCCTGCCAGAGCCTCCAGTTTTCAATGCGGTGCATAGATTTGACGGTGGCCGTCTTCATACAATTGCATTGTTGCGAGCCATCCTGCCCATGGCCAGTCAACTGCAGAATTTCACGCACTTTGTCGTGAATATGCCCATCGATCTCCACATAGAATGACCGCAACTGATCAGTCTGCTGCAGCAAAGAGGCAGGTGGAGTGACCCACTGCTTGGGAACACCAGGCAAAATACGAATCTGGCGGACTTTGTTTGTACCACAATGCCTTTGCATCATCAACTCGTAGTCAACCTGACGAGCTACTCCAGCAGAAGTGATTGTCGCGAAGCGGTTGTGAGAGGTTGGGTCACGAAGGTAGGCCAAATAAGCCTGGTGCATCTGATCATTTCCTTCAGGTGGCACCGCATGCCAACCACCGCTCTCCTCATACTGCCAACATGCACCGCTATTGCCAGCGACTCTCGAGATCTGCTTTTGCTCCTCCAATCGTGCAGTTAGCTGATCCTGCACCTCTCTCATCTCTGCCAGCTTCTTCTCAGACTCCTCTCGCATTGTCCGCTCCGTCTTGAGACCATTCTTCCAGCGCCTTCGAGCGGTCAGGAAACTAAAAACAAGCTTGCTAATTTCCCAATGTTCCAATCAACCCGAAACCCTAAACCCTAAACCCCATGGTGCCTACAGATAAAGACGTTATTCTGGTGTCAGGCCTCGTTTTCAGCTTTGCAGCCGCCACCTTTTCTTTCTGCTTTTGCAGAGCACTTTCAAGGCGTTCCCGTTCTATGCGTTCGGTTGAAAGAGCTTGCTGCAGAGTTCGGCACTCCTCCTCCAAGTCTGTTACAGAATGACCTCCGAGCAAGACCATCCCGAATGACTCGTCCACGGGGCCGTCGAAAGGAATTCTCCAACCAGTAGCTGGTGGCACAAAGGGCATCTCCGTTTGGCAGCCAGGATTGAAACACCATACTTCTTCGCCCCCTACGTCTGACCCAAACCACCAACCGCTGAAGCGTGCTCCGTCCCCTCGTTCCCAGTAGTAGATCAACGGTAGTAGGACGCCAGGGCCGTCCTTTCTATACACTGGCTTACCGTGATGGGAACTGACTGCTCTGTACACTCCTTGGATCATCTCGGAAACAGTCACGGTGCTGCACCCCAAAACGCGGATGATGATCTGTTCTGGCGTGAAGGGTATGCCAGGCATGCGGAGCGGGTGAAGTTGCAAAGGTCTCTGACACAGCTTGGTGACGACGGACTGTGAAAGGCCCTTGGGAGTTGAGATTCAGCAGCACAGGCACAAAACCCAAAACTAGAAGTCTCAAACTGAAAGGACCCCTCTACATGTGGACGTACGTTTGTCATGACTTGTCCTTTGTGATTGTTCTTTATTTTGTTTTTTTTTGGGGGGTGGCTGTGCCATCCCAGTGAGGTGTGCAACAGCACGTTGCATCTAAAACTCGCAAACTGCGGTCGGATGTGATCGACGTACCGATACTCACGAGTCTTGGTTTCCATTCCCAAGCACCAAGTTTACACTTTGGCCCAAGTCTCCAGTCCCTCTAGCTTGTGACAAACCCAACTGACAATGATGAAACACACTCAAAGGTTCGATCAGACTAGCAGGCTCAGCAGCCTTGCCCGCCAGCTCGCTCTCGGCCTCTCCGGACGCAGGTCCTCAGTTGGCCATGACTGTCAGATGAACACAAGAATCAACAGCATTCTCTCCCTTCACTTCTCCATACGGCGAAGAAGAAGCTAGACAAACAAAGGGTTCAAACAGCGCTCAAGCCATCAAGCCGCCACCCTCCGTGCTGCATTTGCGCTTCTTCGGCGCATTGGTGGTCTTGGGTTGGGTCCCAGAAGCCATTGCCGGACGCTAGGATCTGGAGCAGTGGGTGACCGAACCAAAGCCGCCTAGTCTTGTTTTTGTCTCTCCGCCCAAACTTACAAACACACGGTTATGAAAAAAACAAATCAAGAAACACCCAATCCTTGGTGTGACCTCACCTGCGTTGCGCATTGCAATCGATGAACGCCCCCAACTCGAAGATGCAAGACAAGGCTAACGGGGGCTGGGGTTTGCATTTTACCCAAAGGCTCCTGTGTAGCACCTTTTTGGGGTAGTATACTCGAACCCCCTATAGCTAACCCCAAGACCCCTAAACCCAAAACCCTAAAACCTAAAACTTGAGGCAGGCTTTGGAGAAGGATTGGCTTTCTCAGCAATTGGCGCCAAGGATGGCAAGGAATCCTGCACGGTGCATGGGTCACTGACTATTGAAGACTTGATTCTGACCCTCAACCCGAAACCTAAACTCAAAAACTAAAAACGCCTAAACCCTTCAACCCCGCCCCCTATAGACCTTAAACCCTTAAATTCTTTCACCTTCAGAGGATTGACCTAAACCCTTACTAAAACGTAAACTACGTCGTCGGCATGTGAATAAACGAGGAACTGCCGCTCATGGCCACATTCTCCAAGACTACTCAGAAATCCCCAAAGCGCCGTGACACCCTGCACAAACCAGAATCTGGGGTTCAGGGTTAAGGGATATCATGTATCGGCACCTCAAACAAGACTCTACAAGTCCTCAACCCCAAGCCCTCTCTCTCTCTCTCCCTAACCCTAAACCCTAAACCCTACACACTAAACCCTAAACCCGACACCCTACACGCTACACGCTACACCCTAAACCCTAAACCCTAAACCCTAAACCCTAAACTCTAAACCCTCCCTTCAACCGACCGGTTCAGCTCAGCATCCAAACATCGGGTTAAAGGGGGCACCGAATTGAACGTCAACTTCGAGCTGCAGGGTTTGTAAGGTTCAGGACATGGGTTTAGGGTTTAGGGTTTAGGGTTTAGGGTTTAGGGTTTGGGGATATCACGGGGTTGCAGGGCTTAGGATCCCTACAGAAGGTTTACCCCAATGACCTCAGGGGGCATCTCCAGAAAAAAAGGAATCACCCTGCAAGTGCCCAGCTTGCTGATGCACTGGCGGTTTAGGGTTTAGGGTTTGTTTAGGGTTTAGGGTTTAGGGTTTAGGGTTTAGGGTTTAGGGTTTAGGGTTTAGGGTTTAGGGTTTAGGGTTTAGGGTTTAGGGTTTAGGGTTTAGGGTTTAGGGTTTAGGGTTTAGGGTTTAGGGTTTGGGGTTTGGGGTTTAGGGTTTAGGGTTTGGGGGGCTAGGGTTTAGGGTGTTCCTGTGGCGCGTTGCAAGATTGCTTTCAAACGTCCCGATATCGAGTAGAGGGGCTCCGGCCTAGCACCCAGGATGGAGGCTGATGACGTACACTGACACCAAGAAAATAGCATAATCCCTATAAACCCCACAAACCCTATAAACCCTACAAATCCCGTAAACCGCCCCAAAAAGCCCTGTAGACCCCTATGAGCCCTGCCGCCAGACCGGCCCCTCGAAAGTTGCACCCAAGTTAAGAGCTTGCGGTTTAGGGTTTTGGGGGTTTTGGGAGGTTTCAGGGGTTTTAGGGGGGCGTAGGGGTTTGAGGGGTTTTCAAGGGTTTCAGTTTTAGGGGTCTTAGGAGCTTGAGGAAGTTTAGGGGTTTGAGGGGCGTTAGGGGGTTTCAGGGGTTTGAGGGGTTTAGGGTTTAGGGTTTAGGCTAGGTCCACACAGTCATTTTCGGCCAGCTGGCCGTGTCAGAGCTGTCAGAGCTGTCAGCCCGAGATGTCAGGAGTCTCGACCGGCGGCCCGATCGACTCGGAAATCACCTGGGCGATCGGGACTGGTGCAGGGTTTAGGGTTTAGGGTTTAGGGTTTAGGGTTTAGGGTTTAGGGTTTAGGGTTTAGGGTTTAGGGTTTAGGGTTTAGGGTTTAGGGTTTAGGGTTTAGGGTTTAGGGTTTAGGGTTTAGGGTTTAGGGCGCCGGTCGGGCTGCCTAAACCCTACACCCTAAGCCCCAAACCCCAAACTTAAGACATTCAAGAGTTTTTTTGAGTTGACAGCGGCACCTGCAGAGCTCCTGCGATGTGGGGTGCACTGAAACCCGAAACCCTACAGGGTGGGGCTCCCTAGTTATAAGTAGAGTTATAAGGACCCTAAATTGGGTTATAAGGACTCTAAGTTAGGTTATAAGTCCCTTAACTACAGTTAGTATAGTAAGGGGGCCCCACCCTGTAGACCCCCAATGTGGGGGCTTCTAGACAGGACCTCGAGCCCTCAATCCCCTCGCCTGCAAAAAAAGTTACATGGCACTGCAACATATTTGGCCTTGCACAAAGTGGATCACAGTGCCCGTTGAAGCATAAACCCCTAAACCCGAAACCCCAAACTTAAACCCTAAACCCAGACTTGGAAACCCAAAGTTCTTCAACTCCTCGCCATGGTGCCTGAAGCCCTTGAGGACCCCCTGAGGCCAAAACCCGTTTAGGGTTTGGGGTTCAGGGGTTGCCCTCCCCCCACTGCTCGACACAAGAGCGCACCCACACATGACGGGGTTTAGGGTTTAGGGTTCAGGGATAGGCAGCAGGTTTGTTTACTTAGCTTTGGAGTAGGCCCTGGAAAAAAAGTATATACTTTTTAGGTAATAACTAGCAATAATAGGAACCCAGCACCAAAAAAATATTAAAGTATAGTACTCCAAAACCCAGTTTAGGAGTTGAGGGTTTAGGGCTTCAGGGATAAGATTTCAGGTTGCTCAGGAGCCCAGGAGTTGAGCTTGTGAGCTCTGCCCTCCGAGGGTTTAGGGTTTAGGGTTTAGGGTTTGGGGTTTGGGGTTTGGGGTTTAGGGTGGCCTGCTGTGGCTGCAGAATGGCGATGCAAACGTCCCCCAGATGGCCGCCCTCCTCTTCGTTCCTTGTTTGGGTCGACCCTGCTAGGGTAAGGGCTTCGGGTTTGGGGTTTCAGTCCTAAACCCTAAAACCCCAAACCCTAAACCCTAAGCCCTGTAGGTTGAGGGTTGAGGGTTTAGGGTTGGTTCAAACAACCTATGCAGGCGCCCCCGAAACCTTGAACTGTGAGCCTGCCGAAACCTGAACTGTGAGCCTGCTAAATGGGAGGCCAGCTCTTGCGCCCTCATAAGTATGAGCAAATTAAAGGGCCCTTTTGGGTTTAGGCCAGTTTAGGCTTTAGGGTTTAGGTTCTAGGGTTTAGGGGCACGATGCTCATTCACTTTGCGCACTCCCTTCCTGCATTTGTGTTCTTGTTGGGTCTCTGCAAAGAGAGTATACAAATAAGTAAAAGCTCCTAAGCCCTAAGCCCTAAACCCTAACCCCTACACCCTGACCCTAAACCCTAAACCCTAAACCATTTCATCTGGTCAGTTGAGTTCTTTGGTCGCTTAGACCTCCACTTTAGTACACCGTGACTGGGAATCATTCCAGCTCTGCGAGCTCAAAGTGCATGCAAGAAAGACATGCAAGCCAAGCCAAGTGAGACCAGACTTAGGGTTTCGGGTTTAGAGTTTAGGGTTTGGTGCTAGGGTTTAAGCAAAAAAACAGGCGCGCGCGGTTGAGCCACAAGCCCTTAACATCCTCAACATCCTCAACCTCCTGAATCCTCAAACCCCAAACCGTAAACCCTAAACCCTAGAATCCTCAGCCATCCCACGGGGTTCGCAGCTCAACCCCTGTTGAACCCCGGCAAGAGAATGTCCTGGTGTGGGGTTTGGGGGTGTTTAGGGTTGAGCTTTAGTCCTCCTAAGCCCGAAAAAGGGGAAATATCTAATATGCCAGGGGTCTACCCAGTATTTTTGCTGTTTTGTCTCTTCCTCTCTCTCTCTCTCTCGCTCGCTCGCTCTCTCTCTCTCTCTTTCTCTCTCTCTCTCTCTCGCTCTAACCCTAAACCCTACTCTCTCTCTCTCTCTCTCTTTCTCTCTCGCACCCTAAACCCTAAACCACAAACTCTAAACCCAAAACCCTAAACCTCTCTGTTCGCAGCTGCGGCCGAAGGTGCAGAAGAAGAAACCCATCCTCTTGCGGGTCGCTGCTGGGATTCTCTCTTCTTGACAATATAGGGTTCAGGCTTCTTGCTTCGGGGCTTACGGATGAGGGCATGTGATCCCTCAACCCTAAACCCTACACCCCCAGAAGTCTCAACCATGAACACGAACTTCGGCTGTGACCAACCCTCAACCCTCAACCCTAAACCCTAAAGTCCAATGCCGGCCCCGTTTGCAAACGTGAGCGCGAAACCAGGTCCCCGGTTTCATGGCCACATCTTGGCTTACCGGCTCAAAGAAAGGAATTTTGGGGCTTAGGGTTAGGGTCTAGGGTTTGGGGTTTCGGGTCGAGGGCTTAAGGCTCGGAAACCTTCAGATCTCGAGCCCAAAACTCCTGAAACCTACACCCGAAACCCAAAATCGCATCACCAGCCCCAACCACCTAGACCCTAAATTCCTAGACCCTAATGTGGGACCCTCTTTAGTGTGTAGGGCCCCCCCCCTCCCCCCCCGAACAGTCGAGGCGTGGATGGGATCCTGATTACACGGCCCCGGGGACTTATATGATTTTTAATCGGGAGGAGTTTAAAAGGGGCTGCGATGCCCAGCATATTTTTTAACGGCGCTCCTCGTGGGTTTTTCTTGCGGCGCCCGGACGATTTGACTTTAAAGAGGATCCCCCAAACAGTCAGGGGATCCTGAATAGTTCGGCCAATTTGACTTTAAAGAGGCCCCTCCTACTAAACAGGGTCCAGCATGAACACCCTAAGCCTCGAACCGCTACACTCACAACCTTGACCTTCTACATCCTCAGCCCTACACTCTTAACAGGATCCGAAGCCCTAAACCCCAAACCCCAAAGCTCAACCCGGACTCAACCCCCCCAAACCCCTAATCCCTAAACCCTAAAACCTACACCCTCTCCTCCTGAAGTAGCGCCACGAAGGCTTGAAGGAAGGGCTTCCTTTGGCAGGCTTCTTGGGATTGACAGCCGGAGGCTTACGCCCAAGGCACTCTAAGGACTCTTGCCCTCCAAACTCAGGGGGGCTTTCGTTTGGGGTTTAGGTGTGCTAGAGTGTTAGGGTTAGGGTTTAGGGTTTAGAGTTTAGGGTCTAGGGTTCAGGGTTTAAGTTTAGGGTGTTAGGGTGTTAGGGTTTGAGGGTTTACCTTTTCACAAGGGTCTGCGGCTTAGTCCAGGGTCTTTTAGGCACAGGGACTTCATCCTCTCCCGCACACCGGTTGTTGACCTCACAAGAAGAAACCCAAAACCCAAAACCCTAAACCCTAAGCCCTAAACCCGAAACCCTAAACCCTTCACCCTACACCCCAGGATCCAAGCCGGACATCCAAGAGTGCCCAACAACTGGGTTTAGGGTTTAGGGTTTAGGATTTAGGGCTACTGAAGCCCCGACCATCATGCTACTGGGTCTTCGTAGTGAATGAGGGGGTTTAGGCTTTAGGGTTGAGGGTTTAGGGTTTAGGTACCCTAGCTATTCTTTTTTTTTCAGTGTATATGCAGGGGGACATAAGGTACTGTACCTCATTCCCTCATTCCCTGCTCAGAACCAGGGGGTCAATCCTGAACCCCAACCTCCTCCCCCAACCCTGCAGGTATAGACTTCAACACAATGACTACACACCCACCTCAAACCCCAAACCCTAAGCCCTAAACCCTAAACCATCAAATCCTAAACCCTCAACCTTCAAACCCTGAACCCTCAACAACCCTCAACAACCCTCAACAACCCTCAACAGCCCTCAACAACCCTCAACAACAACCCTCAACAACAACCCTAAACAACCCTAAACAACCCTAAACAACCCTAAACAACCCTAAACCCCAAACCCCTCCCTCTAAACCTAAGCCCTAAAACCTAGGCTCTAAACCCGAAACCCTAAACCCCTAAACCCCTAAACCCCTAAACCCCTAAACCCCTAAACCCCTAAACCCCTAAACCCCTAAACCCCTAAACCCCTAAACGCCTAAACCCCTAAACCCTAAACCCTAAACCCCTAAACCCCAAACCCCAAGCCCTGACCCCTTTTACCCTAAACTCTAGCCCTAAACCCTATGCCCCTAACCCCTAACCCCTAACCCCTAACCCCTAACCCCTAACTCCTAACCCCTAAACCCTAAACCCTAAACCCTAAACCCTAAACCCTAAACCCTAAACCCTAAACCCCCTAGAGCCGAAGCTCCGGAGCATGGCGGATGCGAAGAGCACCGTAGCGGAGGGCGCCGGCAGCCGCCGGAGAAGACACCGCAGGGCCTCCCAGCCTCCATCCGTATAGGGTTTAGGGTTTAGGGTTTAGGGTTTAGGGTTTAGGGTTTAGGGTTCAGGGTTTAGGGTTTAGGGTTTAGGGTTTAGGGTTTAGGGTTTAGGGTTTAGGGTTTAGGGTTTAGGGTTTGGGGTTTTGGGGTTTAGGGGTTTAGGGTTAAGGGTGGAGGGGGGAGGGGTGGTGGTGGGGGGCTCTATACGGTTTCAGGCTGTTAGGACAGTAGAGGGATGGGCCCCGAACAGCTTAGGGTTTTCATCGGAGTTCTAAACCGTTGCCATAGACCCTGAACCACGATCCAGGTAGAACTATTAACTGCAAGTAGGTATGCTCAAGTACCCTAAGCCTACACCCTACTACACTTGAACCTTGAAGCCGGCTTAATTGGGGCATCTGCCAGCGAGGCACTCTCCCGATTCTCGTACAAACAGTCGCAAATCACCTTGGCTCGAGGTCTAGGGTTTAGGGTTTAGGGTTTGTGTCGACCTCAGTGTGATTGTTTTTTGGACTCGACATGTCGGACGAATTTGATCTCTAGCGCCCTACAAGCCCTTTCAAAGGCCCTAAACCCCAAAAAGTTTGGGGTTTAGGGATTAGGCTTTATGTCCCCAACAAAAAGCCACATCATATAGAGCTTTGGGTTTAGGACACATTTAGGGGCTGATTAGGGCTTCGGTTTAGCACTGTTAACACACCATGAAGGTGGGCGAATGCGGTTCGAGCCAGGGAACTTTGAGGCTCATCCCAACTCAACCCCGCACATCAGCAAAAAACCCTAGACCCTAAACCCTAAACCCTAAACCCAAAACAATCAACCGCGAATAAAGCACCTGAATCTTAGGGCAGTTCCATCCTGAATATGAGCCCTTAAATCATCGGGACCCTTGTATGACCTGTAAAACCCAAGGGCCCATACTTCAGAACCCTTTGAAGGTAAGAGATCATATTAAAGCACCATGAAACTATCCCTAAACCCTAAACCCTAAACCCTAAACCCTAAACCCTAAACCGGACCTGCACGCCCAGGCCCTAAACCGCCCTAACCCCTAAACTCGAAAAAAACCCTAAAGCCCCAAACCCCCGAAACCTTAAACCCCAAACCTTAAAAACCCTCAAAAACCCCTTAACAACTCGAAAAGCGAACTAAATCCCAAAACCCAAAACGAAAAAAACAATCCCAAGCCCCACAAACATCCCTAAACCCTAAACCCTAAACCCTCAGCCCTGATCCCGTCCCAGTCGCGAGCAACTCGAAGGCGCCCTCTGGGAGGGTTGGCTGCTGGGCCTCTTTGGCCCACTCCACCGCCAGGGCCTGGGCTCACACGAATACATTGCGAAGGGGTGAGAAATTTCCTCTTCGGGGCCATGGCGCAGGACATGCTAGATTGCAGATGGAGCCAAAAGTCGACATAGCAGCAAGTGAGACCTGAATCCCCAAGTAAATGCATCAAAAGGACGCCTTAACAAAGAGCTTCCCCCGAGTGATTGGCGTGCGCCATATCAGAAGGGGGCGCCTTTCCCTACTGAGAGTAGGGTTCAGGGTTTAGGATTTAGGGTTCAGGGTCAAGCTTCGTGGTATATTATGCCGGGTTTCGGGCTTCGGTTTTTGAGGCTGGGACCTCAAGCTCACGGGGTTTCTGTAGGGCCTTCAGGCTTTAGGGATCCGAGGTTGCAAGGATGAGGGCTGGCAGTGCCTGAGAGCTTAGGGGCGTTTAAGGTTTAGGGTTTAGGGCTTAGGGTGTTTGGGGTGTTTAGGGTGTTTAGGGTTTAGGGTGTTTAGTGTTGGGGTTTAGGGTTTAGGGTTTAGGGTTTAGGGTTTAGGGTTTAGGGTTTAGGGTTTAGGGTTTAGGGTTTAGGGTTTCGGGAAGCAAGGGTCTGGGGTTTAGGGTTAAAAACAAGGCTGAGGGCTCGTAGAATCTAGGGGTTGCAGGTTTACGAGCTCTTAAGCACTGACAGGTTGGCTTCAACAAAACAATCAGGAAAGTCGTCTCGGAGTGCTCCAAGAACTGGTTAGAAGGGTGGGGGGCGTTAGGAGTTAGGGTTTAGGGTTATAGTCCCTCCAAAATCCAAAACCCTAAGCCCTAAGCGCTCAACCCTGTAGGGGTTAGGGCTTAGGGTGGAGGGGCGCACAAAGCTCCTGTCCCAAAAGCCCCAAATGCAAACTTCGACAAGACAGGAAAACGGCGAATCCCAAGAATGGAACACGCAACATCCCAATGTCCTACCCTAAACCCTAAACCCTAAATCCCAAACCCTAAACCCTAAACCCTAAACACTAATTAAACCCTAAACCCTAAACCCTAAACCCTAAACCCTAAACCCTAAACCCTAAACCCTAAACCCTAAACCCTAAACCCTAAACCCTAAACCCTAAACCCTAAACCCTAAACCCTAAACCCTAAACCCTAGACCCTAACCCTAAACTCCCAGAGCTAAGGCGTCAGCCTCGCATGTGCCCATCTTCTGCGTCCTTGTGTAGGGTTCGGTCTAGCAGGGGTGTGATCTATCTTTTTGCGCTTCAACTTGCTTAGGGGTGTTGAGCAGTAACCCGACATCCGAACCCGAAGCCCTGAACCCTAAGATGAATAAGTGCGCTACTGGATAGTCTAGTTTTAGAGGGTTGAAGGTTCACAGGGTTTGGGGTTCAGGGTTTCTTTGGGGGCTTATAGGTCCCCCACTGAACCCTAAACCGTAAAACCCTAAACCCTGCACCCTAAACCCTAAACCCTAAGCCCTAAACCCTAAACCCTTCCTCTTGCTGAAGGCTTCGGCTTGAGGGCTTAGAGGTTTGGGGGGGGGGGGGGGGGGGTGGGATTTAAGGTTAGGGTTTGTAGGGGTTTGGGGTTTAGGGTTGAGGGTGCACCGAGCTGTATGCCCTTGAGGGCTTACCTAGGGAAGAAGGATTGGGTTGAAGGGTTGAGGGCCTTGTCGCCCTCTCAACCTTAACTCACCCCTATAGAGTGACACAGGTCTTGGGGGTTGAGGGCGTTGGGGATTTAGGGTTTGGGGTTTAGGTGTTTAGGGTTTAGGGCTTTTGGTTCAGGGGTTTAGGGTGTAGGGTATCCTGAGGTCCTGAACCTACAAACTTCCCCAAAGCTTATGGGCTGCTCTAAAGCCGAGCAGCTCCGCGGGGGCTTTGCCGCGGCGCTGCGCCTGACAGGCGCAGGTTATGGGCAACTTTGAAGTGAGTGCGTGCGTGCGTGCGCGGGTGCGTGGGTGGGTGGGTGGGTGGGTGGGTGGGTGGGTGCGTGGGTGGGTGGGTGGGTGGGTGGGTGTCTGTGTGAGAGAGTAAGTCTAAGGTTTAGGGTGTAGGGAATCGGGTTTAAGGTTTAGGGTTCAGGGAGAACAAAAGCTTGTTCGGGTTTAGGCTTTTATCAGTATGGCGCCTTCTCAGCAGCTTTGGCCTTTCGCAGCTTGCTCTTGGTCTTTGCAGAGGCCTGCGCCAAGGGCAGGGCTACCAGCGTTGGGCTTCAAAGCGTTTCAAGTAAACCCTGAACGCGCAACCCTAAACCCTAAACCCTATACACCCTAAACATCTTGGGGTGGTTTCTTGCTTTAAGTTTCTTGGGGCTTAGACCTCTTCAGGGCTTGCTCTTAGGCGCACGAGTGGCTTGCACAACAAACCCTTACACAAAGCGCAGGTCAGGGTTAGGGTTTAGGGTTTCAGGGTTTAGGGTTTAAGGTTTAGGATTCAGGGTTCAGGGTTTGGGGCTTGAAAAAAGTTATAGTGTAACCGGAAAATCCATAAAGTTAGGCATTGAAGGCTTTAGCATGCTTTGGCTCAGCATTGCTCTATTGTTCGTACTCAGGTCCGCCAAATCCCCGTACAAGCGGACACAGGGCCGCAGCCTCCACAGCCAGGGGTTTAGGGTCTAGAAATTAGGGTCTAAGGAACTACTAAAATAAACCCTCAATTCTAGGCCCTTGCACTCCAACGGGCGCTGTGCTCAGCTGTGTGTGTGGGGGAAGGGAGGGTGCGGTGCGGTTGCAACTCGTAGAACAAGAAGACTGCGCATGGCGAACATGAGCTCCCTAAAGCCCCAAAACCCAAAACCCAAATCCCTAAACCCTCAACCCTCAACTCCTAAACCCCTGAACCCTAAGCCCTAAACCCTAAACCCCGAGGCTGGGAACACAAGCTTAATTAGCACGATGAGGCTGACAGGTGCAAGTTAGCGGACCTTTTGCGCCGGGCAAGCTCTGCCGCCAATAATTCTTCGAGGTACTCGTCGCCCAGTTCGGCGGCAGCCCAGGACGACAAACGCAACTGTGGTAGCTTCATTGCCTCCATCTTCTGAGGAATCTCGGCCTGGAGGTCAGACAACGGGATCAGTACGTCTGGCTCGGCATCTTGGAGGCTTGCAACGGCCCAGAGGCTTACCGCCAATCCTTGAGGATCAACATCCCCCACCTTCTCCGAAATGCACTTCGCAACGGCGGGAACAGCCATCAGGACAGCAGGAGCTGCCTCGTGCAGCTTCGCTGCGGCCCACAGGATGTTCCACAAGTGCTGAGGAATCATGCTCTCGACTTTCTGTGGTATTCGCTGCGCGATGGCAGGAACAGCCTTCAGAACAACAGGCACAGCCCCTTGCAGCCTCGCTGCCGCCCACAGGCTGTTGGACAGTTCCTGAGGCTTCATACTCTTCGCCTTCTGCGGTATGCACTCCGCGATGGCAGGCACTGCGGTCAGAACAGCTGGGGCTGCCTCTTGCAGTTTCGCTGCGGCCCACAGGCTGTTGGACAGTTCTTGAGGCTTCATGATCTTGACCTTTTGCGGTATGCACTCCGCGATGGCAGAAACAGCTGTCAAAACAGCAGGGGCTGCCTTTTGCAGGTTCGCTGCGGCCCACAGGCTGTTGGACAGTTCTTGAGGCTTCATGCTCTTGACCTTCTGCGGTATGCACTCCGCGATGGCCGGCATAGCCATCAGAACAGCAGGAGCAGCCCGTTGCAGTTTCGCTGCGGCCCACAGGCTGTTGGACAGTTCTTGAGGCTTCATGCTCTTCACCTTCTGCGGTATGCACTCTGCGATGGCCGGCACAGCCATCAGAACGGCAGGAGCTGCCTCTTGCAGTTTCGCTGCGGCCCACAGGCTGCTTGACAAGTGCTGGGGCTTCATGCTCTCCACTTTCTGTGGTATTCTCTCCGCGATGGCAGGCACAGCCAGCAGAATAGCAGGAGCTGCTTGTTGCAGTTTGGCAATCGCCCACAAGCTGTTTGACAGCTCCTTCGATTTCATGTCTCCTGCCTTGTCCTGCACACAGCGCGCAATGGCTGCTACGGTGCTGTCCATGTGAATGCCGATATCTGGATGCACCTCAACGAACGCCCGCAACACTTTTGCAGCCTCAGGCGCTGGGATCATGTCCTTCCCCAGCATATCACGCAGCTTCTCCAGCAGCTTGGGCCAGGTGCAACTTGCGGCATCACCTGCTGATCGCCCGTTGCGTTGCTGGAGGCCAGATGCCCGAGTGAAGGTGGCCGACATATGAAGTTGGTTGAAACCCTCTCCATCGAGCTCCGGGTCAATGAGAGCCAGCAGCTCCACGGTTGAAGTCGTGTCCTTGATCTTCGACATCAGGATATCTGGGTTGGATGGCTGGGGTGGGGGCTGTCCCGAAGAAGACCCTCTGCGTCTACGAGGCTTCCCGCGGCGCAAGATCAGCGATCGCGGGCCTCTGCAGGCAGAATGGCCAGGAACAGGCGGTAAGCTGACGAGGCAACTTGCATATCCCACATCCGACCTATTGCTTCCTTCCAGCAGCAGGCGACAAGCCATCACCAGGCCGAGCAGAAAAGCTGCCGTGGAACGCCGCCGCGACATCGGTGGAGGCCCTTCAAAACCCGACTGCCGCGGGGTTGTGGGCTTTCGGGTTCCCCCCCCCCTGCCCCCGGCCCCAAGAAGCCTGCAGTCCGAGGATGAATGTGAAGACGCTCAGGGCCTGACACGCTGAAACTCTACAACCACACCCCAACTGGGGTCAGACTCCACATGTACCAATCGCTGAAACCAAAACCTTACCTAGGCATGCCAAGCGTTTATAAGTGAGGTGCCCGTTCTAGGCTTTATCATGTCTATAGGGGTGCCCCTAGACTGTCAACTGAAACCCAAAGGCCCAAAGCCTTAAACGCTAAAGGCACTAAATCTAGGGGGTGAGGGAATTGGGTACCTGATATTTCCCTACTACAGCATTCCACTACTTCTGAGGGCGGCGCGGAACAAGCCTATATACCACTGCGTATGAGGGCGGCACAAAACCTAAAGACATAGGCCACACCACCCTTCCCTATACCCTACAGCCTAACCCCTAAACTCCGGGCCAGGCCGTCAATCGGCGGCGCTTAAGCCCTTCAACCTCTATGGCACAAGTCGACCCAGGTCGCTCGCCCGCCTCCTGCAGCTCGGATAGCACCCACGATGGGCACGGTCTCCGCCTGGGACCACCCTGGGGCCCCCCGGAGCTCCCCGGGATTTGCTGGGACCCTTCTTGGGACAGGTGCCCGCAAGACCTTTGTGGTTTTTTTCTGAATGCCTGGGACCCCAACCTCTGATCCCTGGAATGGAAGAAGTTTTGGGAAGTGGGCAGTTGACTTGAGTTTAGGCGGCTTACACCCTAAAATGATTAGGTTTGGGTGGGTTTGCCACTTCTGAGACGGCGTGGGGGTGGGATAAAGTTAGAGGGCCCTCCACTATCGGGCCATGGCTGGTCTTCGCATTTCACGAAGCTGTCGAAGCGAGTCTGCATCCCAACCTTCACAGCTTCTGCGCCATGTCACATCAAACCCTGAACCCTAAACCCTGAACCCTAAATCTTTATCTTCCCGAAGCCCGCTGCCTCCTCGAGGCTGTGCTGCTCGACTGCCTGGTAGGGTTTAGGGTTTAGGGTTTTAGGGTTGAGACGCGTTACCTTCCCCAGTACGTACTCCCCACACCATTTACCGTTTAGGAGTTCGGGGCCCCACGCTCGTATGACCGCCCTAAACCCTAAACCCTAAACCATAAACCCTAAACATTAGACTCTCAAACTTCAACCCCATATTCTTCAACTCTCGAGGCCATGTCACACCGGCAGGGTTTAGGGTTTAGGGTCTGCAGTTTAGTGATCCGACGCTTGAACTCGCTGGCATCGTCGGCGGCAATGCCTGCAGCGCCTGCTGCATCCTGCCGAGACACCTCCTCCAGGAGGTGGCAGAGTGCGCAAAGCACCCACCCTGATCCAAAGCCGGACCTCCGCTGATAGCTATGATGGCTCTAAAGGTCTGCAAACAGAGACTATGATGACGGTCGAGATTGATCAGAGTCGGTCTGCAATTCCGGCTCAAGAGTAGCGAAACCCTCTTGCAGAAACACCGCATACGGATGCTTCTTCTAAACCCTAACCCTAAACCCTAAACCCCAAACCCTAAACCCTAAACCCCAAACCCTAAACCCCAAACCCCAAACCCTAAACCCTATAGACCCTAAACCCAGAAGGTGGCTAGAGGGCTTCGAGCCGGCCTCGCATCAGGACTTGATGCAACGCGTAGGCCAAAATCCTAAACCCTAAGCCTAAACCCTAAACCCTAAACCTTAAACCCTAAACCCTAAACCCTAAACCTTAAACCCTAAACCCTAAACCTTAAACCCTAAACCCTAAACCTATATAAACCCCCTAAACCCTAAACCCTACAAGCCCTCAACCCTTGAACCCTAAGCCCCAAGCCCTGAACCCTAAAGCCTAAGCCCTCAACCCTTTGGGGATGTTTAGGGTTTGGGTTTCGGGCTTAGGGCTTAGGGCTTTGGGCTAAGGGCTTAGGGTCTAGGGTTTAAGGACATGGGGTTTAGGCTTCCTGGAAGCTGGCCGTTTAGTGCACTGAACCCACGGAAAACATCCCAGAACTAGCCTTCCCTTATAAGCCGCTCGCTAAATCCTCTACAGCCGTTTAGGGTTTAGGATTTAGGGCCTTTAGGGTTTAGGGTTTGGGGTTTAGGGTTTAGGGTTTAGGGTTTGCAACAGCTCTCATCCCCTCAAACCCTCAGAGGCATACAAGGTGCCACCAACAGCTCTAGAACCCAAACCCTGAGCCCGAAACGAATTGGTTCAGGGTTTAGGGTTAAGCGTTTAGGGAGCCCGCATGATATCAGGACCAGACCCAGCCAAATATAATTGATTTTGTGCCCGGGGACCACACTCTCGAAACTTTTAGGGTTTGTAGAATGCAGTAAGAAAGCTCCTGAACCCTGAACCCTGAAGCCTAAATGCTCTAGACCCGAGCCCCCCCCCCCTAAAACAAAAAAATATAATTACACATACACTAAACTAAAACTTAAACTAAAACCAAAACGAAATCTAAAACTAAAAAAACTGAAACCGAAAAAAAAATAAAACTAAATAAGACTAAGACTCAGACTAAGACTACAACTAAAACTAAAACTAAATCTAAGACTAAGACTAAGACAAAGACTAAAACTAAAACTAGCAACACAAAGAAATCACAACAGAGGTCTACGCCAGACTGTTGCTGTGCCTCGGCTGCTGTGGCCGTTGTAGCGTAGCCGCCGGCATCCGCCTCTTTAGATTGAAGGTCGAAAACGTCCCTACTTTGGAGTAGACCCTGGAAAAAACTTTGTAATATAAGTAGCTGCAATAGGAAGCCAGAACCCAAAACAAGTATTGAAGTACTGCAAAAGCCAGACGTAGGATTTATCATGGGCCTGGCAGGGGTTTTGGGTTCAGGGTTTGGTCTTCAGGCTGAGCCCAACTGTGCACAGTCTACATCTACCCAAGAAGGCACATGTCTCCTTGCATGAAGGGTTTAGGGTTTAGGGTTTAGCGTTTAGGGTTTAGCGTTTAGGGTTAAGGGTTTAGGGCAACAAAACGCAAGCCAGTCTCTGACCAAGTGGCCGATACGGATGCACCTTTCATGACTTCGCCAAAACCGCGCCAAAACCTCAACCACCCCCCGCCCCCTCCCGCCCTATCGCCACAAGGTTCTGCATCTCAGAAAACCCAAAATCCTCGACAACCCTAAGCCCTAAACCCTAAAGCCTAAACCCCAAACCCTAAACCCTAAACCCTAAACCCTAAACCCTAAACCCCACACGCGAAAGGCGTAGAGCTGCCTTCGGCAACTGTGGTGCGGGCCTGCGCTGGCTTGCCTCGACTCGCTGGCAGCCTGCAACACGTCCCCGAGATACGGAGCCCTAGCTTGAAGTCTTGGTAGGGTTTAGAGTTTAGGGTTTAGGGTTTTGGGTTTAGCGTTTAGGGTTTAGGGCTTCGGGTTCAGGGTATAGGGTTGAGGGTTTAGGGTTGAGGGTTTAGCGTTTAGCGTTTAGGGCTTAGGGTTTAGGGCTTAGGGGATAGGGTTTAGGGTTTAGGCTTTCGGGGTTTATAGAGTTTAGGGTTCAGGGTCTAGGGTTTCGCCAACACCCTCACCCCTCTGCTTCGCGTAAGCCGGAAATCTTACATCCTGCATCCCTTTCCCTAGTCTAGACCCCAGAGTATACCCTGAACCCTAAACCCTAAACCCTTATAACCTAGGAGTAAACAGGGTGCCCCTTTGATAAGGGTACCCAAGCGTGCTAGGAGCAAGAGCTCCCTAAATTCAGATCGAGCCCTACCTACCCAGCAGCTAAGTCCCGGAACACTGAACCCTGACTGCAGCACGGAAACACAACCATGAACCCTAAACCCTAAACCCTGAACCCTAAACCCTAAACCCTAAACCCGGGGCGAAGTTGTGGATGGAGGTGGCGCCCAAAGCGCTTGCACCGCAAATTGCCATGAATTCGGCGAGCTTGTCTACGTACAAAACTCTTCGCGAGTTCATCGTCCAGTACTTGAAATCCAAAAACCTGTGGCGGCGCAGTGCAGGCACGACATTCGGATCTGCTTCTGCATCATCAGCTCCATACTCTGGGCCAGCACCCATGGAGATAGGAGCAGTCGACGTTGCAGACGCCAAGCCCCATAAAGGCAAAGAGGCTAAAGGCGGTAAAGGTGGCAAGAAGGGTAATCCGGATAAAGGGTCAAGAGGTTCCCCGGCGGAAGCACGCTCTTCACATTCCCCGCATTCGTCCAGTGGTACCGCAGGTAGGGGAAGCTCAGAATTTGCAGCACCCAGTGCCGACCCTTGGCAAGGGCTATCATGGCAACAAGGGCCGTCCTGGCAGCAAGCAAGTTGCTCTCCACCGCCCCATGCGTCAGCTCACTTCCCCGGGGGCTTCTCCGTCGATCTTTTCTGGCCGTCGACATGAAGACCATCATCGAGCACGGCAAGCTGCAAAAGAGCAGGCCTTTCTGCACCAGCTGCTAAGCGTTCTCCTGCACTGTCGAGGGCTGCACGTTCTGCAATCATGATGATCTTGCGAGTCGGACGCGCAGGGTGCCACAGGGGGCAGTCATCCCGCAGATTGTGAAGCCGCGGATCAAGATATTCAACACAGCTTGCAACTTTATGACTGTAAGACGTTCGGGGGTTAGGGCTTTGGGTCTACAATGTATAGGCCTTAAACTGTCTAAACTACTCCAAACCACAATTTTCTAAACCTCAACCTTAAACCAGCAAAAGACGACAGTAGCCTATGTAAAGCGATATATATATATATATATATATATGCATATACGTATATACATACATATATATATAGATATATGAATCAGTTGAACCCTGAACCCTAGCCCCTTATCGTTTGCCTTCGGGATTTTGGTGGTTTAGGGCTTAGGGTTTGGGGTTCTGGGCAGCTAAGGTTTAGGGTTTAAAGAATTTAAAAACGGGGGCCTTCGTAATTGGATAGGGTCTTGGGGATGATTCTAAGATACTCATAAAGAGACTATGAGGGAAGACGGTTAGTCATGATTCCGACCGCTGTATTCGGGCTTTCAGGCCTATTCAGCTGCAGGTTCCGCTGCAGGAGGGGCAGCAGGGCGTCTACGTCCGAGATCTCAGTAGACGGCAGGTTCACGAAAGCGCAGGAATCCCGGCAACCCTGGGTTTAGAGTTTAGGGTTTAGGGTTTGGGGTTTAGGGCTAACCACCAAACCACCACCAAAGCCCCAAAGACTCTTAAAAAAAACAACCTAGCACCCGAATTAAACTCTATAACGACATAGGACTCATGCGCTGAAGCCCATGAGCCGACCCCGGCCAAGGACGATCTGAGCCATAGGGGGGGTCCATGTACCTAAATAGGGGCTTAGGGTTTGGGGCCTATAGGGCTTAGTTTAGGGTTTTAGGGATTAGTTCTGGCCTTGGTAGGGGTTAGGGTTTAGGGTTTAGGGTTTAGGGTTTAGGGTTCAGCATCTCAAGTCCAAGCATTTCACTAGCAGAGCTCCTTACTCCGGTATCGATATCGACCCACCCACCCATTGGATCCCATAACATTATGAAAACATTTGACTTTATGTTTTAACCTTAAAATTTGGGGTTCAGTAGGCTGCCGCCCAGGGTGGGCCCTAAACCCTAAGGCAGCCCAGAGTAGGGCCTAAACCTTAAAGCCAGCCCAGAGTAGGCCTTAAACCCTAAACCGCCCTAAACCCTAAAGCCAGCCCAGACCAGGCCCTAAACCCTAAAGCCAGCCCCGAGTAGGCCCTAAACCCTAAAGCCAGCCCAGAGTAGGCCGTAAACCCTAAAGCTCCGGGAATTTTTGGTGTTTGTCCGGGAGTTTTTGGTGCTCGTCCGGGAATTGTTGGTGCTTGTCCGGGAATTTTTGGTGCTTGTCCGGGAATTTTTTGGTGCTTGTCCGGAAATTTTTGGTGTTTGTCCGGGAATTTTTGGTGCTTGTCCGGGAATTTTTGGTGCTTGTCCGGGAATTTTTGGTGCTTGTCCGGGAATTGTTGGTGCTTGTCCGGGAATTGTTGGTGCTTTGTCCGGGAATTGTTGGTGCTTTGTCCGGGAGTTTTTGGTGCTTGTCCGGGAGTTTTTGGCGCTTGTCCGGGAACTTTTTGGTGCTTGTCCGGGAGTTTTTGGCGCTTGTCCGGGAAGTTTTGGTGGTTGGCCGTGAATTGTTGCTTGTCCGGGAAGTGTTGGTGCTTGTCCGGAAATTGTTAGTGCTTGTCCGGGAATTTTTGGTGCTTGTCCGGGAATGTTTGGTGCTTGTCCGGGAATTTTTGGTGCTTGTCCGGGAAATTTTGGTGGAAAACCGCGAATCCATTAGCTTTTAAATATACATAGGTTAGAGAGTGTTTAGGGTTTAGGGTTTAGGGTTTGGGGTTTGGGGTTTGGGGTTTGGGGTTTGGGGTTTAGGTTTAGGGTTTAGGGTTTAGGGTTTAGGGTTTAGGGTTTAGGGTTTAGGGTTTAGGGTTTAGGGTTTAGGGTTTAGGTTTAGGGTTTAGGGTTTAGGGTTTGGGGTTTGGGGTTTGGGGTTTGGGGTTTGGGGTTTCAGGTTTAGGAATTAGGGGCATTAGGGTTTCGAGTTGAGGTTGTTTAGTCCTACAGGGTGGGGCCCCCTAGTTATAAGTAGAGTTATAAGGGCCCTAAATTGGGTTATAAGGACCCTAAGTTAGGTTATAAGTCCCTTAACTACAGTTAGTATAGTAAGGGGGCCCCACCCTGTAGACAGGGCGTTCTGCGGCTGGCAATCCGCTCCTAAATTCTAAAGCACCTGCAGGTCTACGTTTTCCTAGGGTTTAGGGTTTAGGGTTTACGGGTGTGGGATGGCTTTACAGCCCTGAAAGCCCCCGCAAAAAGCCTTGATCCCTAAACCTAAACCCTATAAACCCCCCAACACCCTAAGCCCAATTGGCCCGACGCCCCTAACCGCCTAAAGCAACAAAAGTACCCTTAAGCTCGACTTAAGGGTTCAAGGGTTTAGAGGGTTTATAGGCATTTCCAATAAGGACTCCACAGGACCCGAGTTGTGCTACTAACCCTAAACCCTAAACCCGAAACCTTAGACCCTGAACCCTCAACCCTGAACCCGAAACCCTGAACCCGAAACCCTAAACCCAAACCCGAAACCCCAAACCCGAAACTACCCAATTCCTTGTGCTGGGGGCTCCCGGCGGTGACGTCTGCACCGTCATGCGCCAAAGCGATGCCGCATGCTCCTCACGGCTCGTGTGATTGGGGCTTGTGGATTTCTGCCTCATGCTTCTGACCCTACTTGGAGGTTCATGGTACTTATTCACCAATCCGCCGAGGCCTCGGGCCGAAGGTGTATAGGTAGTCAGAACAGACACCCCCCTCCAAATCCTCCCCTTTTTTTGCCTCAAATGGGTACCCCCCTAGGTGAGCAGGGTCCGCAAGCGGATGGTTCGCCAGGACCAGAGGCAGTTGCAGCCCTTCCCAGCAGGGCACCCCCCCTTTTTCACCCCTCCGACCCGCCCCCCCGCCTCCCCCCCCCCCCCCCCCCCCCCCCCCCCCCCCCCCTGCCCCCCCCCCAAAAGCCACATGAGCGGCTGGGTTCGAGGTGCTAATGGACGCAACAAGAGGGGCTTGATGTTTGTAGGTGTCGCTATAGCACACCCAATGGTTCATAACCTAGGGGTGTCGCTTTTCAAGTGTTCCCATCGTTTTACAAGGTTTTGGGCATTCGTGTCCACCCCTTGCTTAATTGAATGGCTGGGGGTTTTGGCGCTTGCTCACATAAGGTGTTTGTGAAAGGCGGAGTTTTCCTGCTCCGACGCACTGGCTTGAGGGCCGGAGGCTCAACTGGTGTGAGCACGGCCGCAAATCCGCCCCCCCCCCCCCCCCCCCCCCCCCCCCCCCCCCCCCCCCCCCCACCCCCCCAACCCCCCCCCCCACCCCCACCCCCCACCCTGCCCAAGAGTCGCCTTAAACCTTAAGGGGCCTGGCTCAACCCTACGATCACCTTGAGCCCTAAACGAACCCTCAACCCCAAACCCCAAACCCCAAACCATAAACCATAAACCCGGAACCCTCAACCCTCAACCCTCAACCCAACCCTTATTGCTTGGGGTCCAGCGACTTGGGCGCTGCGGAATCACCATGCTCACGCGGATGCGCTGGGCCGGGCCGAGGCGGGTCGCGTAGCGTTAAAATTACAACTGTACTTCTAACCCATGAACCTCCAAGTACACCATGAACCCTAAAACGCGATGGCATAGGGGCCTTGTTTAAGAGTTGGAACAGGGTTGTGAGGGATATTCTCGGGTGGTTATAGACGGACCATAAGGGAATACCGCTAGCATTTTTCCGAACCCATTATTCGGGAGCTCCACTTCGGGGATTCTGAATTACTGATTGGGAGTCGCGGGGGCTGTCGTCAAGGGGTTCAGACTCGTACCCCGAAGGTCGTGTACCCCTGACATTCCCCTTCATACACTCCCAAAATGGCCCGTATACTCCCTTAGAGGATCTTTAAGAAGGGCAGCCAAAGCCAAGGGCACAACCCTAACTAGTTCATGGTTTGGATAAAGCCTAAATTTCTGTTCCTTCTTGGGTTCCAGGTACACTTAAAATGTAAAATGTGTACCCCACTATGACAGAGGGCTCCAATGGCAAGTCCCATGAGGTAGGCCTTTCTTTGCAGCAGGTCAGTGCTGCCAACCAGGTTTGGGAGAGTCAAAGTCGAAGCACTCAACCCGTAAACGTGGAGACCCCTAGAGCCCTAAACCCTAAAACCTAAACCCTAAACCCGAAACCCTAAACCCCTAAGTACAGGTATAATTGGCCAAGAAGTACCATGAACCTCCAAGTAGCCCTAAACCCTAAACTATAAACCCTAAACCCTAAACCCTAAACCCTGAGGCGCAGGCCTGCGCCGGCTCCCAACTCGATCGCGCGGCAGCCCGCGTAGCTGGGCCGCAAGGCCTCTTGTGAGTGAACTGGGGTCTAGGGTTTCAGGGTTTAGGGCTAGGGTTTAGGGTTTAGGGTTTAGGGCTTAGGGTTTAGGGTTTAGGGTTTAGAGTTTAGGGTTTAGGGCGTGGGGCTTATAAGGGCTCTCTGTCTTCAAGGGCTGGGAAGTTCAGG